AAGCATTCTAGAAAAGGATGGTCTACCATCTTGCATTTGGTAAGGCTCTTCACATTCAAATGAAGACATTCTTGGTAAAATGTGCATTGCTGGGAAGACAGAGCCTCAAGGCCTTACTTGAAACCAAATTCATTGCTATGAATTTTGTTTTAGAGGGCCATCAAGAACAGCTCAGCTCAGAAGGGCTCCATTTTCCAATTGAAAAGACACTTTGATATGCAGTCTTTTTTTTTTTTTTTTTTTTTTTTTTTGGTGGCAAACTGAAAAATGGTGTGTGGAGCACAATAGCTTCTACCTCTCTTGCATGGGAGTGATTGGTATTGCCCTGAACACCTCTCTTCCGGTTAGCAATCTGAATTCAGGCTTTCTACAAAGAAATGTCAGTGAGAGAGCCTGGACCTCAGTAATACAATTATCTTCCAGCACTCCTAGAAAATTTTAGTTTAGAGGACTGAAAATAAAGTCCTTATGCTCATTACCAGCTTCCCTCCCCTGTCAGCACAGATAAAGCACAGGACATTTAGCACAGATGAATGTAAGGTTATAATAATGATTTTTTTTCTCAACTATGTGGTCAACCAAAGTATCTTAGCAAGTGTTTCATCTACCTCACAGATCAAGTTACTCAATCAAGTTTTAATTAAATTATTCAATCAAAAATATCATATCTTACATGTATTTCTAAATTAGAAAGCCTAAATAATGTACAAACTCTTACTTGTGTGAGCATATTTACATGGTGATAGATGTTACACATAAAGTAATGGGAATCATACTGTTTGATAATGCTATCCTACTCACTTCTCCAGAGACAGGAGCAGCATACTGTCCAACTCTGGAGGAGCCTTTTAGTCCAATTTGAGGTAAGAGGTAGCCATAGTGAAGAGACAAGCAAACAAATGAGATGTCTGACAGATTTGTTCTAATTTTTCCCAGTCCTGACAAAGGAGTGGTGAGGAGTATTTTCTAATTCCTTCCATGGAATTTACCAGATCAAGAATGGTTCAGGATGTAAATTCTTCCAATTCAGTACAAGCTACATGACAGTAATAAACAGTAAGATTTCTAATGCTAGAATAACATCTAACAACCAGCTTGAGGAATGCACTGTTATGACTAGTCTTCTTACAAGCAGAATAACAGTTTTCAGTTTTGCAGAATGAGCAATTCATAGTTATGAATGATAAAAGTTTAATGTTGGATGGCTTTCTCTCCATCAGTGGAATGAATATTATATATAAAATCTCATGTCTTAAGTCATGGTACATGCTAAGCTATTGTCACTGCTGTAATAACTGCTGTAATCATTGCTATAATCATTGCAAAGGGCCCACAGATCATCTGTAAAGCTATCCCAGCAGGTAACAGATACTCTAGTAGCAGCTGTCTTCATCAGCCATCAAGTCACTGAGTGTGACGGTAGCTGGACTACGCTTCAGATTCTGACACAGAGTAGCTTACGTTTCTGTAAGCTACTAAAGTACAATGCCCAAACAAGAATGGTGCAAGCCAGATACCAGCAGTCCCACCACCAGTCTCATGGAAGCAACAGGAACAATTAGGCTGTTAAAACCATAGTCTCAGATATTTAAAAAATAAGAACAGGAGGAAGTTGTAAAAATCGAAAAGGCAATCACAAATAATTATAATATTGACTAAGCTCATCATGGACTCAATTGTCTGATTACTGAGCAATGGTGAGATTCTTTGACTGTTCTGGACAAGAGATTTTATGTATTTAACATGATTAATTTTATAATTTAGTATATCTGAACACTTCAAAATTTGCACTGCATAAGCACTTATTGCTAATAAGAAACTGTATCTTACCAATATGTTGGGTGGAATTTTGCACACTGTTTCTTACTTTGCAGTTAAGAATATGATTGACTGCCTTCCACTCACCTAAGCATTTCAAATAAAGTTCTCAAAGAGAACAAAAATGACAGATGAATCACGCTTGTTGTACAGGTGTCACTTTTCCTTTTATGTTGAATATTTAGAAATGATTTTTCTCTTCCCAAGCATTGCTGAAAAATTTCTAAATACAATAGGATATTACAGTTGAGTCTTCAGTGACCAGACAAATTGGAGAAAAGACATACTTTCAAGCATGCCCATTCAAAAGTATAGGGAATGAGAAACTCCTCTTGTAGAAGTACACTTGTACAAATACTTAAAAGCTTTCTTTTCTGTGTTTATTAGTTAACAGCAAGATTCCTGGAATCAGCCTCAAATACCTCTGAGTATGTCGAGCAATGTTAAATTGAAGTTTAATGTAAATATTATTTAAACAAAAAAGTGCTTGCCAATCTTATCAGTTGTTGACTGACATACTAAAGGATTCGAAGGCCTAAAGTAAAGTCAAGAGTGCTTAATGCTTTAGCTAACTACTTCCCTAGTCTGCAAAGACTAACAAGCAGGGTAAGACATGGAGTAGTACACTCTGTGCTCAATAAATCTGTAATCCTGTCCAGAGCTTCTGAGACACAGAATGGCAGTTCCTATCTCTGCTATTTTGTTGTTTCTACTTACAGCAAAGAAAAAAATATACAAAGAATCTGCATATGACTTTTTGTGCAAGTTTCTTGTTTAAAATGTTGCAAATCATTAGAAACATATGGGTATTATTCAGGCTGACAACACAAAAATAAAAGTCATCAAATAGACTCACTATTTTTATCTGAACCAGGTTCACTCAGGGAAAAGTGATTTTATGCAAAAAGGCTAAGTCAAACTATATTGGGAATTCTGTCAGAAATTCTAATTATAGATCGTCAGGAATTTTTTTAACTGGAGCCAAAGTTTTTCCTGGTAGTATACCAGTTTTGACAAAATTGCTATTGGAAACATTTCTTGAGCTCCAGCAGTGGGTGTAGGCAAGAAAATGGAGTTGTCTGGGACAGAAAATAAATAACTTGTTGGTCTGAGCAGGAGCTGAGCTTTGCAGAGCCCAAGTCTTTGCCTTGCTTGATTTAGAGCGAGGAGCTGAACCCATTGAAGTGCCCTGGCCAGACAGTGCTAAGCTATCTTTCTTTTTAGCTTGATGAGTATTTAATCGGTTGTATGCCATGGAGCAGCTCCAACCACAGACAGCCGATCTTCCACACCAGAATAACCCCAGCCTAGCTGTCAAGACCGCATTCTGTCTCTGGCTCGGCAGGACCTGAGCAGGTCTCCACATCCCACCAGGATACCACAACCATGAGGCAATCGGATCATGAGCGTCTTCCTGTTCAAAAGGTTATTTTTGGTCCGGGTATAGAATGGGGTAAAAGCCGTCCTTTCAAAAGGACAGACTGTGCGTTTGGCAGACCCTATGCCGAGCAGAGACCGTCACAAAGTCCGTTCGGAGAAATGGCCAACGTAGCTAAGGTATGCTTGCCCGCACCTGCCGCAGAGCGCGCAGTATGAACGCGATCGTCTTACAAATGAATTAGTTGCAGAAGGAGGAACTTACTCCAAGAAAAACCACTCCTCCGCTGCCAAGCTGACCAACACGCTTACACCGAGCGGCCGCCGCAGAGGCACGCCGCAGCCTCCGCAGGGTGGCGCCCTCTGCACGAGCACCTCCCGCGGACGCGCCTCGCCGCCGCACGGCGCTGCTTGCCGGAGGCGACCGGTGCGCGCTGCGCGACGCCGAGCTGCTCTTGCCCGAATCGCGGCTGCGTAAAGGCTGCAGCAGGGCCTCGTGAATGGGATGAAGGTAGCGGGACGCTTCGGCAGGACTGGGACAAACGCGAGTACTTTCCTAAGGGGTGGTGCTTACTCCGCTGAAGCTGCTGCTGACAGGAACGTCACCGGTTTACGTGCGGAAGTTAGAACGGGACCGCAGCGGCGCGTTACGTTCAAACAGAACTAAGTGCGCCGTGATTCTGACACCGTGCCGCTCCAGGACCGGCCTTCGGGCTGCCCTCCAGCCCTCGGACGCGCCCCGCAGCGGCTGCACTGTGGGACTTTTCCCGCGCGTTGGCAGCTCACCGGCACCCCCCCGCTGCCTCCGACACAGCACGGAGGAGCGCAGCGCTCGGGCAGTCCGCTAGCGGCAGCACGAAGCTGCTATGATCCGGGGCTCCGCGCTGCAAAAAAAGCCGCAGCGCTACGCGGGTGCCCTCGGCACGGCCTCCTCCCGTCCCAGCCCCCAGAGTCCCCGTTTCCCGAGCCGCCTCTCCGGCACCGTGCCCTCACAGCACACGAGAGCTGCTTTGTGATGAAATCCCCGGTAACGCCAGGGCCGAAGGCCGGCGGGAGGCCTCTGCCGGCTTCGCCCGCGCCTCACCGGACAGAGGAGCGGAGGAGGCTGCTCGGCCCGCCGCCAGCAACGCCCACCCGGGGCCCAGCCGGGCTCCCGCACACCGCGCCGCCCTACAGCACGGCAGGGGGAAACGATCGTTAAAGCCCCGTTCCTTTCCCCCTTCTGCGCGGTGGGCGCGCCGGCAACGCACGGCACCTCTTCCCCATCCCTCCCCACCACTTTGCGTTACCCCGACTGTACCCCTGCCCCCCCCCGCCGCCACGTGACGCGGCGCGCATGCGCGGCGCCGCCGCCGGGCCGGGGCACATCTGCAGGCTGACGTCAGCGTGCTCCGCGCCGTCCCCCGGGCGAGGCTGCCAAGGCTCCTGCTGCCGCCGCGCTCGGCTTGGCTGGGAGCCGGTAGCGAGAGGAGGTCTGGGGCTACTTCAACCAAATTTTCCTGAGTCCTTCCTGCTCTGCCTGCCTTCTCTCCCCCCCTCCGCTCTCCTCTCCTCTCTCTCTCTCTCTCTCTCTCTTCCCCCCCCCCCCTTTTCTCCCCCCCCTACTCAGATGATATTCACATGGTATTTCGCACAGAGGCGGCTGCTCGAGAGGAGGGCACCCACCCCCACCTCAATATAAGCCTGTTTTTCCTTCCTTCCTCCCCCCCTTCTCGTTGGAAAGACAAAATGTGCAGGGTGATAGGTGGGGTGAACTGATGGCATCCTCCCTGCTGCCCCGCCGGTCCGTTTCTTAAGAGCCCCTTTTGGGGAGGCGACAGAACGTGATTCTGTGGGCGCAGACACCCCGATGGTGGCTTGCTCAGAGGGGAAAAGCAGAGAGGGAAGCGGGACCCGTCCTGTGCAATCTCTATTGTTTGAAACTTACTTTGTATCAGAAAGTGAAGATGAGCACGGTAAGGAAGATTTCACGCTATTCGATGAACTTTTTCTTTTCTCGTGTCCCGAGCGGCGCTGCGTGCAGGGCTCGGGCGCGGGGGGAGTCGTCTCGCACCAGGCGAGGTGGATTGGAGCGATTTCAGAGAGAAACCTCTGAGAATGGGGGAAGGGGGTGCGAGGGCTTTTCGACCGAGAATAGCCGCGATTTGCACAGCACGGTCTGGAGCAGGGCAGCTTTGCTTGAGATTGTTCTGGCGTTACTACGAGATCGTTAGTTAGGAAGAAGAGGAGAAAAAGGGGGAAAAAAGAAAGAAAAAAAAAAAGACAGCCCCCGCCCGCAGGCGCAGCAGCCCCCGGGCCGCGCTCCCCGCGGCTGGCGGCAGCCGTCCCGCAGCCCGCCGAGCGCTGGCCGGGCTCGTCAGGAAGATGGAAGCGTGTGGTTTTGATTTACTCCGGGCCGCCGGGGACTCGCCAGACTCTTAACCCCGCGGAGCCGCGTTGCTGTCGGTGTGCGTCTGTCTGCGGGACGTGGTGCGGCGGGGGGAGGTGAGTGGGCTCCGGCCGTGGGTCGGCGGGTTCCGTGCTCGCGGGTTTCTCTCGTTGTGCGAGAGGGGAGAGAGCGAGTGAGAGGCAGTCAGACTCTTGTTTTTATTTGGGCTGCCGGTGCAACGCATCGGGCTGGGCGCCAAGTGTCTGGGTCACACGCGTTTTATCCAAATAGATCCAGCGCTGCTGTCTGGAAACGGGCTGCCGAAAGTTAACTTTAGGACCGGCTCCGCCGCAGCAGCCAGGCTCTTCCCTCCGCTCTCTGGGGAGGACGACTTTTTTTTTTTTTTTTTTTCTTTTCCTCTTTCCCCTCCTGAATCCTCTTTGAGCGATGTCTGTGAGCTCAGACGGCGCTGCTGTTTCCCGCTACGTTTTATTATTATTATTATTATTATTATTATTATTATTATTATTATTATTATTTTTTCTGAGGGGTCGGTGTGTGCGGCCGTTGCCCCCGTCCGTGTAACACGCGTGCATATGTGTGGGGCTGTGGTACAGACAGCTCTCGAGCCCGATGAGTTTTTTTCTTTTTCCTCGGCTTTTTTTCTTTCTCCCCTTTCCCTCCGGCACCGCGGTGACAGCGAGGCACCCCGCGCCTCACCTCGGCAGGCATCGGGCCCTGCTCTGCTATGAGGATGGGGCAGGAGGAGCCGTCCTTCCCTTTGTACGTCCCTTCCCCAGCCCCTTCCCCCCGAGGTCTGCGTGCCGCTATTCGCGCCCCGGAGCTCCCGGGGACGCTGCTAATCCCGGCTTTTGAAGCTGCGGAACGCTTCTCGCGGCCAGCCCTGGTACCTGTAATTGAATTGGTGTGACTGACTGCTGCCCGCCCTCCCCATCGCCCTGGCAACCGCTCGTAGCCCGGCGGGACGGCCGCCTTCGACCGCGCCTCGGCTCGGGCTCCCGGCCGCGGAGGGGCGGCTGGCACGGCGCGGCCCCGGCGCGGGGAGGGGGCCGCGGTCATCCCCGCTCCGCCCGCCGCGCCCCTCGGCCTGCTGGCCGCAGCACGAAGCGAAGTCGTTCCCCCCGCCCCCCACTACGTCCCCGCCGCTTTGCTTCTCTAATCCGGCGCCGTTGTTTCGGAGCTCCAGCGCTGCCGGGAGAGCTCGTGGCGCGGCTGCCGGCAGGGCTGTGGCTGTGTGGTGCGACAGCCCTGGGTCGCTCCTCTGTGGAGGTCCGGCAGCAGCTGTGTGGCGGTGCTCTGCACGCTCCCGGATGGCTCTCCCTCGGCCCTCCATCGGTCCAACGGAATGTTGAGGTGCCCGAGGCGGCTCACACCCTTCACCTGGGTGGTGTCGCCAGTGTGTCTGGTCAGACATGGCCACTTTGGCTGGACAGCATCCGGGAATGCACGCTCAGCCACAGAGTCCTCTTGCGCCTCATGGCCTTTCTTTTTCCTTTTGGATGTGTGCTGAGTTTCAGTGAGTAGGAGCCTCAAGGCTTAGTGGCAAGACTGCCTCTCTGTCACAAGTGCCTGCACAGACATCCTGGTGCACAGCACCACTTGTGTCACCAGCACTGTGAAACGCATCTTGCACTTCTTCCTGACAGAACTCCTACTGTTAAGCAGGAACAATAATTGGAAGTAAACTTTACAGAGCCATACATGCGCTTGTCATGGATGGATGTGTAGTGCAGCCATGGGGCAGAGGAAATGCTTCCTACTGTATGCTTAACGCTGACAAAATGAACCAGCCTGGACACAATGCAAGTGGAATGTGAACGTACATTGCATACGGAGGAAGGAATATATTACAGTTGAAAGGAAAAGGATAGAGATACTGGATGTAAGTGCTCTGTCTGGGGTTATTTGAGTACTTTATCATTTGTATCACAATTTCTTAAGCCAGACCATTTATACTGCTGCACCTGTTGTATTTGTACCAATGCATGAACTGGCTATAATGCGTTTGGAAAGGAGGCAGGAAGTTTCAGCAGAACTTTCAGTGAGCCTGATGTGAAATGAGATTTCCTGTGTGAGGATCAAGGCTTAGAATGTGATTCAGGGCCCTGAAAAGATTCCAGACTGAGGTGACGCTTGGATGTTGTCAAGGTTTAACGTGGGCTGGTGGTGACTAGATAATGGGCACCATTTTGTTTCCTCTATTCAGAGCTACTGAGCCCTGTGGGCGTTGCAGTTTCAGGAGATCTTAGTGCTAGTGTAATTTCTAATCAGCCTAACAGACTGAACGTGAGTTCCCCATTACTGTTTGTTGGCTAAGTAAAAGCTGTGAGGCAATGTTATCTCTATATATGGCAGTAATGAGCCATTACTGGACTAGTGTCCAGTTCTGATGTCTGTGCATGAAAAGAACTGCTGACAAATTGGAAAAGATTCAGAAAAAAGCTGCAGAATTAATTAGGCGTCTGGAAAATGCATTGGCAGAGTGAGGTAAACTGAATAGGTTGAACTGCTTATCAGAGAATATCAAGACGTTATTGTATTGGACTATAACTATCTATGCAAGGAGGAGAAAGCCCACTAGCAATCATGTAAAGCAAGATTCAGTGGAATTTGAAGGTGGGTGTTGTTATATTGGAAGTAAGTAAATACTCTTTATTATACTAGTGTAACTGAGGAGTATATGATTATTTCTATTCAGATCTTGAAAAAGGCTAAAATCTGTAATTAAGTATTAGCTCGGAAATGAAGGTTTTACGTGGAAGGTCAGATTAGAGATTTTATTAGTATCATCTAAGGCCTTGCCCTTTGTGAATGGCATCACTGAGTCAATTTGTTTCCTTGGGGGAAAAAAAAAATAAATTCTAGTCCAGACTGTGCTTGAAAAGTATCTTTTATTCCCCCTGGAAACCTGATTAAATGCTGAGTGCTCCCTTGAAAAAAATTTAAACTTGGGCACAGGAATGGTCAGGTTGTCCACGTTTATTGTTAGTAATTAGGTCCGTCTCCATTTGGCTAAGAAGTTTTCTGATATTCACTGTAATGTTAGTGAAGAGGATTTATGTGGTGTTGATTTTTCTCAAGTTGACATACAACTCTTTAAATTTTACGAATAATCCACTGACTGCAGGGGGTGTTATCTGTCTGAATGAGTTGTAAATCACTCCCATAATTTCAGAAAGGCAAATATGTCTGGTATACGTGTAAGTGACTGTGTATACTTGGAAATCTGTTTTTGAACATCTTCTCAGGTGTTCTCTTTCAATACTGCCTGCTTCTGTAGAGTTTGTTCTGTGTGCAAGTTTGTGGAGTGCTCAGGTGAGTTGGTTAGTAGCAGCTGACACGACACATTGTTATGTGGACAACAGTCCATGATACTGGACTGTTAGGTGTCTGCATGGACCTTCCATTTAATCCATATCAACAGCTATCAACACAGTTGCTTTTCAGTACTGTTGCAAAAGTGTTTGAAATGATGGCAGCGGTGTGTGGGAAGTTCAGTATTCTGTTGGTCTCATGACCTGCAAAATGAAAATAAAACGTATTCTACTACATCCAATTGTAGTTTTATATACTAAGCATTTTTGATAACAGATGTTGGAAATCTTAGGATGTAAGTGGTGAGGTTGTTTGTCTGATGCTAGAAATGTGCAGTTTTCCCATTTTAGTGAATGAAAATTCTGCCTGCATAAGCAGAACCAGGGCCCAAGTAGTAACAAAATTCATGCTGCAGAAAGATCGCATAACTGCACTCATAAGTATTAGCTCGGAAATGAAGGTTTTACATGGAAGGTCAGATTAGAGATTTTATTAATATCATCTAAGGCCTTGCCCTTTGTGAATGGCATCACTAAGTCAATTTGTTTCCTTGGGAATATAATACTGATTCTTTCCCAGGTTCTTCCTTTGTCTCCCAATGCTTTGAGTCTACTTATTTTCTGCTGAAATCAATTGGTATGGTGCACTGACTATATAGGTGGAACAAATCTGAACACCGTATTCTAGCAAAAAGAAACCTTAGTTTTATAATTCCTTCTATCTGTTCAACATGAAGCAGAATTGTGCGTCTTAAGCTGTATTGAACTACTTGTTCAAGGTTAATGGTAGTTCATGGTGGGTTTCTTTGTTGTCGTTTAAAATTGTGACCTTGGATCTTAAAGGTAGTAATGGTTGGTATATTTTGCATAATACATCACGGTAGCTCAATATTTTGCAGGGTATATCTATTTTAGTAGAAAAATTTTAACTTGACTAATTTTGCTTTGTTTTTCAGGAAAAGAAATGGAGCAAGTTCAGTAGCTATCCACTCTAACATCTTAATGATATCTTAAGGAATCTTACAGTGCTTATTTTGAATTGAGAAAATGACTGCAGATATAGAAGAAAGTTGTTGGAAAGGAATACCTGTCAAAAAGTGGAACTTCCAATAGTATAAGATAAATATACTTGTTATGGTGCAATTCTGGAGTGGAGTTAACCCTATAGCACACAGGTAGCCCTCCAAGGAGAGAGAGGAAAAAAAAGCTTTCTGTTTTTCTAAATTATGGAAATTTTTTGGAAGACGTGGACATGGATTCTGAGCCTAGTCATGGTTTCATCGGAATTTCACAGTGACAGCAGGCTTTCATACAGTTCTCAAGGTAGGAGCCTGACCTCTACAGATAACAAGAATAATCAATTTTTACATTTGGGAAATATTTTCAAAGCCGTGGTTATATTATTAATGAGATCATGTATGCTGCAGTCCTAGTTTGATCATGATTCATTGCCTTGAATGTTTGATTACATTGATTTAATTGTTTGTTTTTTTTTCTTTTCCTTGGTTTAATTGTACAAAAACCTTACAAATTGAATTGGTAAAATGTTGTATTTTTTAATACTTCATAATAGTTTAAAGGCTTACCATATGGTCATTCACATGTTTTTAAGCTAGGAAGTAAGGATCTAATCATTAATCCATTAGCATTTATAGACTTTTGATGGCAAGAAGAGTCATTTAGATATTTTGCAATATAATACTTTACTACTGTGCAGGTGAATGCAATAGCTTTTGTCTTTGACTGATATCATTAGAAAGAATATGTGCTTCTAGGTAGAGTTTAGCGCCATGTTTTCCTGTTTTATGTGAATAGGACAAGGTATGTTATTCAAAATGTTGTGGTTTTTTTTTTTTTTTTTTTTCCTGTGATATCTGATTATTAGGAAAGAGAACACATTTTTTACATAGAGAGAAAGAAAAGAGCGTTTTCTTTTCTTTAGTAAAACTCTGCACTTTGTGTTTACCTGGTAATAACTTTTACTCATGCGGATGATGGGATTTAGCCAGTTGTGGTTTATGTTTACTACTTGTTGTTTCTTGTTATATTCTCTTCTATGCACGCTCCCTGGACTGTCTCGCCTTGTGATTACAAAGAGGAATTCCTGTCTTACCTTGAACACTACCAGCTAACAATCCCAATAAGGGTTGATCAAAATGGAGCCTTCCTCAGCTTTACTGTGAAAAATGTTAAACCCTCAAGAAGGAGAAGGAGCATAGACCCTTATGATCAAGAACTGGCAGCATCTAAATTATTTTTTAAACTTTCTGCCTATGGCAAGCACTTTCATTTAAACCTGACTCTCAATACAGATTTGGTGTCCAGACATTTTACAGTGGAATACTGGGGAAAAGATGGTCCTCAGTGGAAGCATGATTTTTTAGACCACTGTCATTACACGGGATATTTGCAAGACCAGCACACTACAACTAAAGTGGCTGTAAGCAACTGCAATGGTCTGGTAAGTGCACGTTGGATGTTCTAGAATAATAGTGCGTTTACCCCTTTTAAAATACAGAAGGACTTAATTGGCATATCTTTTCAGTTTTTTTGAGTTCCTGTGAGGAGCAAACAGACAGAAGTGGCAACAAGCCTGTAAAATCCGATCCGGTCCTAGGGAAAAGTAGTCATCGGTTTAATTGTAATTGTAATAAGCTTAACTGTAAGTACTAGGACCCAATTTTGTAGCCCTTTAGCAGACAGTACCTTAAGTGTTTGCAGTGTCTGCACTGGGGCTGCAATATTAGGTCTGTTGTGGGATCATTACAGGTTATCAAAATGTTGCAGACTTGAGGAGGGAGAGGGTAGCAGTTGTTCCTTTAGGATGCTGGATCTGTTCAGTGAGATGCTGATTGAACTGTGTGCTTCATTGATTTTTTTTTTTTTTTTGAGAATTAGGGTTTACCTATTTTGACAAGGAGGAGGAGTTTCTTTGTATGGAAGTCATTGTTGCTATAAATTCAGAAAAGTAGATTATCTGCAAGTATCAGCCTTTCTAAAAGTATTGTGTCATAAAAATTTGCATTCAGTGCCGGGTTAGAAATTTTGTTCTCAGATTTTACTCTTCTCTTGATCACGACAGTAGTATTTGCATGGTGCAGAAGCTTTTCTTCACAACAGAAATTAGAAAACAAAAAAAACCCTAAAAACTTACTGCTATCAAGTAGTAAAATACTTAAGTAAAAGAGCATAACTAGGAAGTACTAAATCAAGATCTCAGTAATTCCTTTAGTAAAAATATACACTGCAGTTACTCACTCAGTTTTTATATAGCGAAACATTGGTACATCTTGTTAAGAGTAAGCAGATCTAAACAGTTGGTAAACGAGGGGAAAAAGAGAAAAGGCTACAACCTTGCTGAACTGTTTCCTTTTTAACCTTTACAAGTGCCTGAGAGCTATGAGAATGTTTTTTTGTAGACAAAACTCTGCTATTTGGGATCTAGACAGTACTAGGGACAGCACGCGTAGTTGGCTGTTAAGTATTTTGTCTTGGTTAACCTGGATTAGTCTTGAGTTGAATAGATTACTCTAGTTGAATTGAGATTTATAGAGATGAGTGAGCGCTTCTGAAGAAACATAGTTAAAATGTAGCTCTCCTTAATGTGTTATCAGAGTTTTTTTAATGCAGCTTATAGGTCTGAATTCAGTACCATAATTTAATTCAGTTTCGTAGTTCCCATGTAATAATGCTGATGACACAGTTGTTTGAACTTCTGTTGCTAATGTAGTGGATTAATTTGTATTTTAGTTCTTTTCAGCTAAAAATACTTTGAAGAGAAAATTGCTCCTTTCAGAATTTACTTTTTATTAAAAAAAAAAAATTCTGAAAAAAAAAAAAGGTCTGCATGCCTTGATCTCCAGCATTTCTACCCATTGAGAGACATACTGGTTGGCCTCAGTGGAGCCATCTATCAGTTTCACGTTTTCCTTGTCCTCAACAATGCTACTTGGCTGCTGTGAAGCTATATGTTGTTCCATGGTTTTATGTTAACTGTGCTTGCAAGTTAATTTCAATGAGGAGTGCTGTTTAGTTTTCACCTTCAGTGCCTATAGCTGTCATCAACTTTTTAGCGTTTCCTCCTGGTATACCTACTTTGTATTAAGGCAGACTCAGATCTTTGGGCACACCATGATTGGGACTTTTGAGTTCTCCGTGGTCATGCTTCTTGGGACTGTGAGTGTTAGATTGGGCCATATGCAATTGAGGTTTTTGTCATGCTCCAGAAGCAACAGTGGTCCCATAAGGCTTTCTTTCAAAGGAGGAGGAATCCCTCAAGCAGGTGCAGTGGTTGGCTGGACTCAATGTGATCTTCTGCTGTAAAAAGCTTCCCTGTCATTGTGTTGACAGTGTGTACTAGGGGCATGGCTTATAGGAATTACCACTAGATTCAGGTAAATCCATCAGTTATTTTAAAATGATTTCTACTGGCAAATATCTTGTTCTAACCAGCTGCTTTATAACATGTTTAATAAAGCAAGTGGCACTTCAAATATTCAGGACACTATTGTTTGTTTTAGAGTTAATGATATTTGAGCAAATGTTGTGTTCAAGGCATTTGTTGCATTTTTTTTAGTCTTATTTTTGATGTATAAGAGACTGACAGTTATGTTCTGCATAGTTTTTGATTAGAATCTGTCCAAAAGGCAGTAATTTTAAGTTACTTGTAACTCTAAAACAAGTAATAGTCTTAAATGACGAGTGCTGCTCATCAGCAGAATTTAAGTATTGTGTTTATTTTGCTTCCCTGCTAGGTTTCAGTATTGCCAGAGGAGTCAAATTTCAGGGTGAGCAAGTGAGACCATGGTTTAATTAATGTAAGTTGTATGACTTTGTAGAGTACCAGTGCAAGTAGGGCTTTCTGTGTTGGGTGTTGGATGTAAGTCAATGGGGCTGAGACAGTAGTAGCTGAGGAACTGCTTAAGCTGAGTATGTAATCCTAAAGGAAGTGAAATTAGAAAGTGTGGTAGATGGACTAAATAGAGAATTTCACCTTACAGAAAAGAGGTTTGTCCGATTCCAAGAGCAGCAAGTCTTGAAGAAAATTTCTGGATTGAGAAACAGTGAAATTTAGCAGAAGTGAAACTCGGACTTTTCTTCGCCTTCTAGATTTAAGCCAGTAACTGAGTGCCCAGACAAGTCTTCCACAGCAGTGGGTTTTCTCCTTTTGATCTGACAAGCTCAATAGAGGGAAGTACTTCAAAATGTTTAGAAAGTAGTGATTGTTAGGAAAGTGAATTAGAGATTAAATATCTTTTTGTATCTACAATATTCCTAAGGAAATATTTAATGTAAGGTGCCAAATTTTTCAATGGCACACAAAGTTCCATTCACGAAATAATATTTGTCCTAGGTAGAACAGATGTCTCCAAGTAGATAAGAGAAAGAAGGGCCAAGAGCTGTCTAAAAGCATGATCTTACATAGTCAGCAGACTTCATGTTTGTTTGATTTATTTCAAAATCAGGATATGGATAAATACCCTGGTAAATCTTCATATTTTTAAATAAGCTTGCTTGAAAGCTGGTTCTATCATAAACAAAACATCTAAATTTGTAGATCATAAATTGCATATAGCAATATTTTTGAATCATATATAAATGCATAATTTACAAGGTAATTTAAAAGGTCAGAGGTGTCAAAAAAGATTAATATTCTAGGCTGCTGTCTATTGAGTTCTTCTCAGTGCAGCTCTGTAATTGCCTAGTTTTAAAATGTCTTGCTAGGTCCCATGATGTATTGTCTCAGGCCAGATCACTGTTGTTTCATCCTAAAGCACATGCAAAGGGAGTGCAGCCTTTTTCCGACAATATAAAGCTACATTGAAGTGTACAGCCAGCTGTAGACTTGCTGAACAACCCTGAAAGTTTTTTAGGAGTTATATTTTCTTCTACTTTGTGTTTTTAATATTAAATTATATCAATATTAAATTATTAAATTACATTAATATTTAATATATGTATATTTAATATAATATCTGGAAAGGTTGAAAACAGGCAGAAATTTGAAAAAAGTAGCTCTTCGAATGTGGAAGAAGCTTTTTCTTTTCTTTTGTTTTTAGCTGATGTTAACTGTTACTTCTGTAGCTGATGGACATCCCCTGTCTGAACTTAGGTGAGGCCCCATCTAGGCAGTCTGACACAAACAGATTCCTTTTTACAACTTCAGGGGAACTCCACATGGATTCACAGATTTGTCTGAGCATGTCAAACTGCTGGATCCAGACCTTATATATGTTAGCAGGAGTTGGCAATCTGTGGTGGAGTTGGGTAACATAGGACCTCAAACAATCTGTTTTAGATAATAGCCTTGAGAATGCTTCTTACAGTAACTTACTTGGGGCATACGTTATTTCTTAAATCCATGGTATTTTCTCACAACCTTTTTCTGGTCATTCCTTAATGATATTTCTTGCATTTTGGAACAGAAGTTTAATTCACAAACTGCTTTTAAGTGCTATGGCAAAGCTGAAAAGAACAAACAAAAACAAGCAAAAAAGTCCAACTCTGCCAACACAATTTCTTTTAATGCTTCAATACATGTAATTCCTTTTGATGCTTCATAAGTCTTTATTTCAGTCCTTCTTTTCAACTGAAATGTTGTTTTGCTCAAACAAAAGATGATAAGCCAGAAAGAAGATTTAGGATGTTGTTTAGGATAGAATAGTGTAACTCCGTCTATTTATTAATAGTGCGTTATGGAATGCATATAGAGTGGAATCATCTCTAGCCATATGCATTTTCTAAACTCAAAATAAATACTGGCATTCACTGGAATGGGTATTTCTTACTTGCAGATTTACAAACATTTCTTAAAATTCACTCACATTAAACTGATGCAAATGGTGTTGTTGAATTAATAGTGGAATAACAATTGGGCTAGCAAGGGAAGTTAAGATATGCTATGTATGCAGGGCTTATGTGAAGTGCATTTGCAGCTATATGCAGGGCAAGTGATTTTCCAGTGTGATTGTGTCACTTAGCTAGCTGCAGCAACTGACTGCATGTGTATTCTGATTATCTGCTAGCAGGTGTAAGTTAAAATTTATTTGCAATTCCTTGGGCAAAATAACACTTATATTTGTATCTTTAAACCCAGAATAATGTTTGAGCAACTGAGATGAGATAATGATTTGACATAGGAAATTTGGTGATACTCGCCTTGCCTTTTTCACTGCTTGTACCTAAAGGAACTGCAGTTGTAATTTTGCATTATTTTGTAATAGATTTTGCTTCTCTTAAAACACAATCTGCTTAGAAAATTAGTACTGCTATTAGTGTTGTATATGTCATATGAAATTACTTGCTCCCTCTTTTGTCATCTCACCACTTTAAAGCTTATTTACCCAGACAGACTCAAGTACAGTTAAAGACCTCTCTCTGTTGCAAAGACAGCGCCATGGCTTGAATGGTACCCCTGTCTCCTCAGACCTGGCACAAAGCACACAGCCTGATGGTGTTGGCTAGAAAGACTGCAGGACTCTATTTTCTGATGGGAATATAATACCAGAGCTTATAGTGGCTCAGGATTCACTTGAACCCAGATGTCTGACAGCCTGGCTGGATGCAGTCCAGATTATCAAGGCTCTTTCTACACATCTGGCAAACCTAGTTACATTTTGGTTTATATTTTCAAGGTTGCTTAAGCAGCCATTAAGTGACCTATTTTCTTAGTAATATTGTAGATTCCAAATATCAAGGCATTATGAAAAAATTTGGTGTCCAGGTGTATACAGGCCCTGATGTTAGTTCTTGAGTAAATATTTGAGCTCATAATGAAAAATACCACTGAAGAGGAACACTTAATGCTGTAGTCACTATTGGCACTAAAAAGCATGTAATTGAAAACTGAATTGTGTTCATGCATATATTTTTAAAATATATGATGGGATTATGTTGTTAAAACACAGTTCTTTCTGAAGTGTTATGCAGGCATTTTTATTCTATAAGGTCTGTGCTGTTACTGAATTCTGGTTATTCCAGAAGTGAAGAACAGCAGAGAGCTGATGTACAAAACAGCAACAGAAAAGGTCTGACCAAAAGTACAGTGATCTTAGAAACAGATTTGGGATACTTGGATCATCTATAGAGCAAGTGGTCTTACAGGTTACCCTGGAGGTGTCAATGGAGAAAAAAAAAAACCAAACCCTTTAAAGCAACAACAAAAAACTTCTGGAAGCGATAGGGTGATTTTTACATGCTTTTAGAAGTACTCTGAAATAACCTTACTGCACATTGCACTGTTAGGAGTGTTCAAATAACGTTAATGTAAATGCATGTTAGCATGGTTTGCTGGTGATACGAAACTGGGAGGGGTGGCTCACACATCAGAAGGCCATTTGGCAGGACCTGCACCAAGTGGAGTGTTGGGCAGGGAGGAATCTGATAAGATTTAGCAAAAGCAAACATGGAATCATGCATCTGGGGAGGAATAACTGCACGCATCAGTAGGGGTAGGGGCTGACCTGCTGGAGCTCTACAGAGAAGGACCTGGAGGTCCTGGTGAACCAGATTGGCCTTGAACCAGCAGCAGTTCTATGATTCTGTGATAAGGCCAGTGGTATACTGTGCATTAAAAAGATTGTGTCCAGCATGCTGGGGGAGGTGATCCTCCTCCTCTGTTCTGCCCTGATGAGGCCCACATCTGGAGTACTGTGTCCAGTTCTGGGCTTCCCAATTTATAAAAGACAGGGGTCTCCTAGAAGGAATCCAGTGGAGGGCCACAAAGATGACTGAGGGCCTGGAGCATCTCCTGTATGATGAAAGGCTAAGTAACCTGGGTTTGTTCAGCCTGGCGATCTGATAAATGTTTATAAATATCTAGTGGGAGGTAGGAGACAAATGGATCAGGCCAGGCTCTTCTCAGGGGTGTGTAGCAATAGAACAAAGGAGTAGTGGCCTGAAACTTGAACACTGCAAGTTCCATACATACATGCAGAAGAACTTCTTTATAGTAAGGGTGACAGAGAGCTGGAGCAGGTTGCCCATAGAGGTTGCGGAGTCTCCTTCTATGGAGATATTCACGGTCCATCTGGACACTGACCTGCGCAACCTATTGTAGGATACCTGCTTTAGCAGAGGGGTGGACTCGCTGATCTCTTGAGGTCCCTTTCAACCCTGCAATTCTGTGATTCTGGGAACAGTCTTCACAGTGGCTTTAATGGTATCTCCATTGATTTGATCAAATCAGAATATGAACGCAGAATTTAGAATTTCCACTGAAACTACTGATCAGTAGTTGTTTCTACTATAATAGAAAAGTTATACATTCAGAATTTCCTAGGTAGAAATACTGAATTTTTTTAGTTAGAGACTATAAGTGTAGGAGTCTCTGTTGGGCTTATTCTTCAATGTTTGTGTACCCTAAATGATCCCCAAACTGGATTTTTTGCTAAAGTTTAGTTTTAGTCTCTGAAGATTCAGGCAGTTACATAGTTGGCTTGAAATTTCCCTTTTCTTCCATCAACCACTTTCCTGGTTAGAAGAAACTGAATTCACAAATATGAGAGTTATGAGAATAGAATATCTGCCATTCTGCCCTGTAGTGTGAAGGGAAAGAAGTGCATTTGCAGCAAGAGAATAAGGTTCAGTGCATGGTCTGCATCAGCTTGGATCTACCAGAGGTTTGTGGTGCGATGTGTATAAGTGCTTTGTAGATCATGTAGTCTAAGGTAATTGATATTAACAGAACTTGGCATATGAATGTAAAATGCCAAAATTTTTCTCAAAATAGTACTTCCTAAAATTAATATTCCATGCAGTTTTTACTTTATTAAGCATTTACTAATGTGGCATCATAGAGGAACATTGAGCTCACTTGCCCTTTGGGCAAGATGGTTTTGGCTTGGTGTTACTTCAATGGCTCTCAATTATGTGGTTTTGGAAAAAAAGTCTTTGAACAGTTTATCTGTCCTGTACTGAGAATCTGTCTTGCTTTGTTACCACACTCACTAAAAAAAGGTAGGGATGAATTCCAGAAGTAAAGCAATGCTATTTTGTTCTTTCTGTATTGTATTGCTTGTAGGCATTTACCTCTCCTTCCAACTAAAGACTCCGAAAATTAACTGAATCATGCATTTTATGTTGACTTATTTCTTAAAAGAAATAAAGGATTGTCAAATGTTACTTAATTTTAAGGTTTTAAACATAGATTTATCTTGTCTTGCAAATTTTCCTTTTTTTTCTTTTTAAGCATGGAGTTATTGCTACAGAAGATGAAGAGTATTTCATTGAGCCTTTAAAGAATATAACAGCTAATTCAAGTAACTTCAGTTACGAGAATGGTCATCCCCATGTCATATACAAAAAGTCTACCATGCGCCAGCAACTTCTGTATGATCATAGTCGCTGTGGAGTTTCAGGTAAATGAATATGAGTATCAGTGGTGTTATCATAGCTTCAAAAATTTATTTAGCCTTCCTTGGTTCACAGGTAAGGTACTATATACAGTGTAAAGTAAGAAGACTCCTTTTGGGTGATACAGTATGCCCTGTTATAAAGTTGCTTCACATCAAGATTCCCATCCAGAATATAGTGTCATTTTACAAATAAAGCACTGGGAGTAAGTCTTGTTTTATTTCTTTGTGTACAGTGGTATTAATGATCACTGACTTTCTCAAAATGTACTTCTCAGCAGGATAGCATGACTTCAGTGACTACGTGTTATAGGTCAGTGTGTAGCATGTGTTTCATGTCATTTGAGGAAACTCTATGTATAGTGAATATGTTACAACTATGATTATGAGTATACCTGAAGCTGGAGTCTGTATCTTCTTCGTTCTTAGGGGTTTATGATTTAGAGTTTTTAAACTCGTAGTGTTTGGGTCAGTGGGTTGGTGTTATTCTGTAGTAGTTGAGTATGTGGCTAACAGGAATGATTGTATGATTTTGATTGAAGGGTATTTTTCTTACAAAGCACAGTTTTAACATCTACAGAAACACTCTTTAAGTACTATTAATTTTGAAATGGTTTGCTTAAACTGTAACGGAAACTTAATTTCTTGAGAACAGCTTGGAGTAAATGATCGGTTGTTTTAGGTTTACAGCACTAGGATAGTGTATTTCTACATAAGAGGAAAAATGTTTTAGCTTTATTGCTTACCTTTTTTTTTTGTTTTTAAAAGTACTGTCCCAGACAGTAGTGTTCCATGAGATTCAGTGCACAGGGAAAGCTGGCAAATTCCTTAAAAATGAAAAGAATATAACTTTTTCTTTTTTTAATGCAACTTCTTTCATCTTCTTTTGGAAATTTTAACCTTGCTGGTTTATTAAACTGACAGCAAGTGTTGTCGGAAAGGGTCATCTTTGTGGAAGTTTCCTGAGTAGTCCAGCTAACTGTCAAGTGCATGTCAAACTTTGTATGCTGCTTCTGTTTTAGTTTAGGAAGCATTATTTCACGTGCATGCTTTATTATGAAACAATTCTGATGACTACTATGTGCTGATTGTAAAATAAGAACACTAATGTATGTAGATGCTCCAGTTTATGCATTTTGTAGTAAACATCTGTGTAGCATCTAACTTTTTATTTCATTTTGTAGGGAGTGCTGTCACCCAAATCTGTTGAAATAAGTGGAAGGGATTGCTAAGTGTACTACAGTTCATCTTTTACCATTAGGATTTATATAGAAAAAGAAAGGATATTGACAGCAGTCAGATCTTACCTTCTGTTAATGCTTGGGAGGTCATTTCTCCTCAAAGTGAAGGTGAAGTAGTGGCAGGTAGTTTAGTTTTGCTTTGTCTAACTCTGACAGTACCTGTGCTATGGATCATAAGTTGATCAGAGCTTTGCATGAGGTTTTTGTTTTAAAACATCCAGTAATCCTTAGCATCTGTACCTCTTTTTTCTTTTTTTTCCCTCCATATTTGCTGCTGCCATTATCCTTGGAGAAGCTGTTCTGCTATTCCTGAGTTTTCAGATTTATCACAACCTGAGAACAGTAAAATACAAAATCATTTTGCAATTCTGACACTTCTCATGCTCATTTACTTCACTTCATTCTCTTCTTGCTGGTGTGTAGACTGTTTTAACTCAGTGAAAACTTCTGACAAGCTTTGTTCTCCCCAGTACTGCAAGATCGTACCTTTTCAGATTACATGCTGTTTTAAATGCTGTTTGTCTGACTACCAAACCTTTTAAACTTATTTTCCAAGCACTGTTTAAACCCATTTTTCCCGTAAGGGCTTGGCATTTTGAGCATCCCCAGAGTATCAATGAAACAAAAATTGTTTTTTGGTTTCCCAGCTTTCAGATATTAGAAATAAAGACAGGTAATAACTCTTGGAAGTTGAGAACTCTCCAATTCTATGTTAAACAACAACAACAAAACTTAAATGCAGATTTAATAAAATGATAACTGCATCTTTGGAAGAATACCTTTCATTTTGTCTGAAAAACTGATTTTGGTTTTACCTTCAGAATGCTATTGCCAATATAGTACACTGGGAGGAATATGGTTGTGCAGAAGTGCCACTATTCACATTCTGTTCTGTGAAGTTTCTACCACTGTAAACTATACCTAAGTTTACCGTGTATCTGTTCTGTACTGAGAAAGCAGTGCAGATTGTATTTTTATTTTGGTGAACAGATGAGCAGAATTTGTTGGACTGCTTCTTATTATGTAATAGAATTTCAGTGATTAGTACAAAAGAAAAGCTGGGAAGATTAGAATGAAAATACTTCTCTATTTCACAGTAGCTCATTTTCAGGTAAAAATATGTGTTTGAATTGTGGCTGATTCACATAACCTAAATTTGATTTTTAATCAGTTAGACATGAGAATGTTTTAAAAAAAGTTAAATAATATTTCATGTATATATTGTCAACAAGTTAATTGTTTTAGTAAATACAGTTGAAATCATTAAGGCCTTGCTAAGAAATTGATTAAATTCAACTTGCCTCAGAGGGATTTGAGGTCACTGGATTATGCTTTGCAGGGTCAGCCTGTAGAAGAGTTACTATTATTATTATTTTTTAAAATTCTTCCATCCAAACTAGTATTGCCATCTAGTTGGATTTTCAAAGAAAAGGCATCTTAAAGCTGTGGAGTAGGCAGGTATAATGCCAAGTGGTATTTGTTTTATAGCTTTGATTTATGATGTAAATATTTAGATGACATGCTAACGGTGCTCATTATTAGTTTTGCAATTAAAAATATATTATGAACTGTTCTGTTGTGTTCTTGTTTGTCTGCATAACTTATTGAAATATTTATTTTTCCTTATGTCTAGTAGTGTGTATTATGTTGAAGTGTGAAATACTTTTAATAGTTCTTTAAAAAAAAATTATTATTTTTTTATAATTCTATTCTAAGAATATATATATATAATTAAATATTTATAATTCAATTCTAAGAAATAGCTTTTCTGCAGATCAGCCATGTGCTTCTATTTTTGTCTGGAATTGAAATTCTGTTTTCTTGGAAGTATGAATAAAATTTCTTTACCTTTGTTTTGGCTACAATAATTTTAAAAAAAAATAAAAATCACAAAACAACCAAAGGAAAATGTGTATTTACAGACTGGGTATGATTGAGAAACAATAAAAATGTGAAATCTCTGAAGTGGCAGATTATTTAGGGATAGTACTACTACATGCTGCCTCTTGTCACGATTTTATTCATGCCAAATCCTACAGTCAGCACATTCTAAAATGAAAAAATGCTTATATATGCATTAAATGGGGTTGCTTAATATTAAGAAAAAGCTGTATGTAATTTTTCACCTATGTAAGATGCAATTGTGAAAATATTAAAATAGTTTGCAGTTGTGGATTTTAGATCACCTTTGGTTTGTTTTTGCGTGTTATGTTCTTTCATCTCTGCTTCTTTCTCCTATCTAGTACCTTTGAAGATGAAGACTTAAAACTTGGGTACCGTTACTGTGTACTCCGCCTGCACCATTTCTTTCTATGTGCATCTGGATTTCTTTTCAGTTGCAGTTTACAATCTAATTTCCTGCTTTTGTACTCGTTACTTTGGGGTTAATTACATTGCTTTTCTGATCCCTCCTCTTCTCCCACCCTTGTTTTATTTCCCAGTAGATATGCTCAGTGTTGATGTAAGGTTTTTAATTTAGGAGTAATTATGTTATTTAAAACAAAAATATTTTTGTCAGAATGTTTTCCATGAAAGTTTGTAGTCTTTTTTAAAGAAAATTTTTACTCAAAATTGTTCAGTGTTTTTAAACTAAAACATCATGAAAACTGATAGATCCTGGAGTGTGAGTACCCAGGATTATTTCCAACTTTCCCATTACTTTGAAATCAGCTGAAGCCTTTTTATCATCTGATAAGAAAAGGAGAAACGTTTGTTTTCTTGAAGTCTTCTGAGACCTTTGTTTTGAAGGATGGTGTCAAGATGAGTCCAGAAGAATCGTTACTTGTTTTTTATGTGGAAGTTTTCTGAGCTCATTGGTTTTTCAAATGTTTAGAACAGATTTGCATCTTTGAATGAAAAATTATGAATGAATATGAAGCAATATTGTATGTATAAAGTACTTGGCATTTTTATGAGCATTAGAAATCCCAGATAGCACCATTTACTCTGAGGTGTTGATTTTTTTTTTAAAAAATGTACCTCAGAAGTTGCCAGCTAAAATTCTACATATTCTTAAATGGTCTTTTTAAAATTCTTCTCATGGTTGGACTCAATGATCTTTAAGGTCTTTTCCAACCTGAGTAATTCTATGATTCTAAATCACTACTTAAGTGAGATGAAAATCTTTAAACAATTAGATCAACTTTGAACTTGCTAGAATAGGGATAAGAGCTAGTAGAAATCTTGATGTTGATTTTGAAATCCTCTCCAGACTTATTACTTATTATCAATATTACTTGATATTATTTTTTAGGATGGGTATAGGATTATCGAACTGTAGTACTGTAGAATGAGAATAATTTTACTTCCAGCATTTTTGTCAGCTGCCCAAATTATTTCCTCTTTTCAACTTTCCAAAAATAATGTGCCTTTTAAAGCCAACTCTGTGCACTCATAATATTATGCAACAGTGGGACTACTGAAGCATTCCTGGTTTTGTCCTGAATGTACATGCTTTGTGGTGTAATTATTGCTCTATGAAACAGATGGTTTAGCTGGACTGCATAAAGTAGTGCTTTTTCGCAGAATATATTGAACATATCTCAGCTTATCCTTAGCTGAACTAATTGTAGGAGAGGTAAGGTTGCATCTCTTGTGTTGATCACTTGAGCAGTCTCATTCAGTCACTTAAAAATGTGCTTACCTTTTAGTGTTCTTAAGTTCATCCATAACTACCATCCATAACCATGAATATTTTGAAGTCCTTATTATGTGATTTCAGCTTATTTTATGCTTTATTGAACTTGAACTTGAGATTTGCATGGATCTTTGTGAAAAAGGGATACTTAATATTAAAAGTGCCCATTTTGCAGGGAAGGGATGTTCAATTTTGCCCTGAGGACATGAGTTCAAGTTTTAAGAAAGTATGTACTGTTTGTTTCTCTGATAATTTCATGTTTGTAATAACCATATATTGCATAAAAGTGGTATTGCATTTTCAAACTGTTTAATTCCTTAGTATGTCTTGATACCTTTAACCTTAATTTTGATTTTTTTCTATATTTTCCAATATTTTTTTTTATTTTCTAGTATTACAGCCATCTCATATCCTGCTCATGGTTAACTATAAGTAATCTTTAGTACTAAAATAGATGTGCAGGATTAGATACGTTGAGAGAAGATGATGATTTGTCATGCTAAGCCAAGTTAAGTAGCATTCAGAATATCAGAACTTGAAGTAAACTTGTTTTTCCTTTTTATGAGGTATTTTAAATTTAAAGATGATAAACTTGCATTTTCCTTGCCTCAAGAAAGACTTGTTTTTAGAGTCTTAAAGATGATCTCAACTTAAAACAGCTGCATTTGAATGAGTTTTACTAGTGATCCTTCTGAAGTGTTTAATTATTTTGGTTCCTAGAAGACCTCACAAGAAGCAGTAAACCTTGGTGGATGAGTGATGGATCTGCTTTTCCAACTTCACTTCCTGTCAATGACACATTAAGTAGTCATAGTCGACAGAAGAGATCAGTAAGCCTTGAGCGGTTTGTGGAGACGCTGGTAGTAGCCGACAAAATGATGGTGGGATATCATGGTCGCAAAGACATTGAACACTACATTTTGAGTGTAATGAATATTGTAAGTTTCATCCCTCTCAATATTGATATTAACACGGGCACTCTGAAATCTCAAAGTATTTGTAAAATATTTATTTACTGGCATAGTAACGTCTTAAAATATGCATCATCTTGCAAGAATTCATAATTACAATATGGTAAATTCTAGCACTGTGGGGAAAAATGCAGTACTGTTTCTGTTAAATGTGCTGTGATCATTCACATTTTTTTTTGTTTTGTTTTCAATCTGAATGTAATCATTTAATCATTTAAATCGTTTAATCATTTAAGAATTTAAAATTGTGTAGCTTTGTTATATTTAAATCAACAGCCTAAATGCTTCTTATGTTGGATGGTTTATTAAACAAGTTATAAACTATTTTGACTGAAAATTATGACAGGAATGTATTTATTTTTACTGAATGGTCATTTGTTTATCCAAAAAGTAACTTAGGTAATGTTAATTATCAACATTCTGTAAATGCATTGAGCAGGAAGATAGTTGAATGGTTAACAATTTGGGAACTGCATGTTGTTTCTTGTCTGACTTTGTGCCTTTTCTTATTTTCTGGAGGTCAGGTTGCCAAACTTTATCGTGATTCCAGTCTAGGAAACGTAGTGAATATAATAGTGACACGTTTAATTGTCCTCACTGAAGATCAGGTAAGAGTTGTTGCACTTCAGCTTTATATCCCTGAAATACAAATTATGCTATTGTGTAGTATAGAATTATTCAATTATTGCTTGAAATGGCTGTATCTGAGTACAAAACCTGCCTTGTAATCTTTCACTACTATAATCAAGATGAGAACTTTTCAAAGGAATATTTCCCACATATTATTTCAAAAATATCTGTTCTTTACTTCAGGAGAATATTAATATACCTTTGAGTATGTCAGTTTTATTTTTAGACCTATATGTCAATACTTAGGTGTTTTTTTTTTTTGTTTTGTTTTGTTTTGTTTTGTTTTGTTTTTGAATTGACATATTCATTATTTAAGTTGGAGCAGAAGGAATGTCTGTTCAGTAATACACAACTGAACTTGGGGTCAGATTTTACAGAGATAAAATTTGGCAAGAAGATTTTATTCCTAGAAACCACTGCTTCTAATTATAGTCCCAATTTAGTCTTCAAAAGGCTTAACAACTGACCTTAGTAATTTGTTTGGAACATTTCTGGTATGCATGTTGTATTGCAGCCAAACTTGGAGATAAACCACCATGCAGACAAGTCCCTCGATAGCTTCTGTAAGTGGCAGAAATCCATTCTCTCCCACCAAAGTGATGGAAACACCATTCCAGAAAATGGGATTGCCCACCATGATAATGCGGTTCTTATTACTAGGTATGGTCATTATAAGTATTATGTTTATTTTTGTTTTAACTCTGTAGTTTTCTTGCTCTTACTTTTATGTAGAGGCTAGTTATAAAGTAATATAATTAGTAGGTAATATGATGAGGAAAAGAAGTAACAGATGGTTTGACCTAAGTATATCAAAGTATAGATTAAGAAGCTTGGAAAGTAAGATACAAAAATTACTTGCTTCTCTTGTTATTTTCATTACATAATTGCCAATGCAAATATTCCAGTAGAACAGATGGATCTTATTGAGCATTTTATATTTTTATAATTGAAAACAATTCTTAAAATTATGGACAGAAAAGCAGTGTGTAAAATGTTTTGTTAACTATATATAATGTTTTATAAGAATTTCAAGGCAGAAGCTCAACTACTGTAATACTGTTTTTCTGCTGAAACAACATTTTTCTTGCAGATTCAGGCAATGTATGATTCTGCTTTGTAGTTGTTTTGATTTATTGTGCTTAATTAAGATGAGAACTGATGGCTTTAGTAGTAAGTTTCAAAGCTGACGTGCACAGTTGTTAGCTTCTCTACCACCACTACTGTGATAAAGTCAACAAAGCATCGTGTTGCTATCTTGCACTCCCGGTGAAAATATTACCGCTTGTTCTCTGCAGTTATGAGTAGGCAATTGTACTTCTCTGGATGATTCGTTTGCCTTTTGTTTAAGGATGGTATTTATTCTTTTCTCTTTTGTTTAAATAGCAGCAGGTGCAGCAGCACTAATTTGGATTAGAATTCTTTTATTATTATTTCTGCTTTCCTGGTCAAATTCTGTACTACTCTGTACGTCGCCTATTTTTGGAAGCATTGCGCTCCCTGCAGAAATGTTAAAAACATTAAGTGATTAAAATAAGTGATTTGTCGTGGAGTTTTCTGTGAAAGATGGAGTAGTGGCTGGATTATTGGGAAGGGAAGGGGGGCTGTTTTAATTTTGTTAAAGAAACCCTTTTTTCTTTTTGAATAGTAAGAAAATCTGAATCTCTTGCATGGATTTTTGCATTCGTATTCCAAATCTAATTGTTACATGTGGATGTTAATGCTGCATAGTAATAATTGAGGTGGTGAAAATGATTGAGACCTCTTTCTTTTTTTTTCCTGTGAGGTGTGTGGGTGGTTTTTTGTTAGTTTTCTTTTTTTTCCCCTCACAAAAAACGGATTAGTTTTACTCAGATTTTTGCCTTCACTAGAGCTGCTCACATGTAAAATTAAACCTTTACAGCTGTCCTACATGTGAAAGTTTTACTGGCTTAGGCAGTCAGCGAACAAATCTAATTGTTACATGGTACTGTTGTGTCACTGGAAGCTTCCCAGTATGTATGGATGAGTGGTGTTGGTAACTCTGTTCTTAATCTTATGGCTGAATAATTTGACATTTTGTTAATGTTACTCTGGCACTGCAAAGCAGAATTGTTTATTTTCATTCACTGTTGTACTTTAGTATGTTTTATTACTCTGTATTCTGTATAAGCTTCCTTGTCCTGGTTGGATGTTCTGTGTTCCAGACGAAGGCCTAAGTAAATGCTAACGTGCAGACCTGTAACTGTGGAAGAACTGTGCAAGTTCACAGAGAAAGTGAAAAATTCTAATTGAAAAAGTTTTACAGCGATCAATGAGCACTGAGGACTTGTTTGGTTTAATAGTCATCCATGTATTCTGCTGCGTTTCTGAAGGATGGATGTGTGTTTGCTATCTTATGAAAGTAGATAAGATCTGTAAAATAAGTTTACGCTTCCATGCACATACTTAAATGAGCATATCTCAGTGTTACCATCAGGTTTGTGATACTGACCTTTATAAAGCATTGCTGAACTTTCAAATTCAGTTCCATGTTTTCATGTTAGAATGCTTGCATTTATTATTTAGTGCGGCCTTTGGTATTAATTTTGGAAATTACTGTAGTAATCAGTTTAATTAGTCTGGCTTTCACCTGAACTGCTAGCTCTTCTGAATGTTACTAACAAATTCTATCAGCTTATAAGAATTGTTTTTTTTTTTTTTTTTTGCAGAGGTGAAGTTGGAATGAGTAACAGTAATTGTATGCTCTACAATAAATTGCTTTACTCGATGATGCTTTAAAAGGTGTCATGTTCTACAGTGTACAAAAAATAATATTATCAGTACTGATTTAGTGAGGCCTGCCTGATCAACTTTTGTTTCCTGAATCGGCTATATGCTAAAACTATGTATTTTTACCAGCTAATCTGCTAATCTTGGTGGAGACAACATTACCATGCCAACTATGCCACTTGTCTTTGACCAAGAGCCTTCTTGATGTACTGGCTTATTTGCCACAATCTGAAGGCATACTGTAGTCTGCAAAGTGCTTATTTTATTAACCTCATAGGGAACTGCAGAAAAATGTTACTAGATGAATACAAAAAATTAAAGTAGATAAGAGACTGGTCCAAATCTCATTGAGGAGAGCAAAATTATGATGGTGTAAAGAAATACGGTATAATTTGCATACATGGTACAAAAATGATGTCCATTCTCAACTTGTTCTGATGAATATTAGGAGTAATTTTGCTGCTCTGTCTCTACTGCTGACCTTTATGCCATAGGATGGCTAGTGGGAGAATTTACTGATAGTATTGCTAGCAGAAGCATCTTACTTCAGTTTCACAGGAAAACTTCTGAACATCCCTCAAACTTGTGAGACTAAAGGCACTTTACTGTAACATGATCTCAGAGGAGGTAATTGGCTTTACTTAGGACAACTTCAAGAGTCTTGAGACCCTGGATGACTTTATATAAAGCAAATAGCAACTATCCAGAGCACTGATAATACTTTTGTATGTCTTACTGCTTTCTGTCTTCCTTTACACACTTTAGAACTTTTGGTCATATTTGTTGAGTCATAAGTGTTCAGTCATAATTCAAGATAAGACATTGAATTAAGGTTCTGAAACAGCAGTGGCTGTTTTTTGTTATAGAGCGTGCCTGTTGAAATTTGGTTTTTGTTTTTGTTTTTTTAACTAAAATAGTATGAGACTTAATTATTTTTCCAGAATCACAGAATGGTTAGAGTTGGATGGGTGAAAGGGACCTTTGGTCCATTTTGTCCAACTCCTGCTCAAGTGCAGACATCGGCCTGCTCAGACTGTTGTCCAGGCAGATTCTGAAGATCCCCCAAGGAGGAGAGCCTACAGCTCTCCTACCTACCTCATTGAACCTTCCTAAAGGAAGCCTACAGACAAGAGGGGAGTCAACTCTTTACAAGGGTAGATAATGGCAGAACAAGGGGAAATAGTTTTAAGTTGAAGGAGCAAAGATTTAGTTTGGATATCAGGGAGAAGTTCTTTACCAAGAGTGTGGTGAGGTACTCGAACAGGCTGCCCAGAGATGGATGTGGATGCACCATTCCTGGAGGTGTTCAAGGCCAGGTTGGATGGGGCCCTGGACAGCCTGGTCTTATATTATATCTGGAGGTTGGTGGCCCCCTGTCTGTGGCAGGGGAGTTGGAGCTTGATGATGTGCAAGGTGCCTTCCAACCCAAGTCATTCTATGATCCCCTGGGCAGCCTTGTGCCAGTGCTCCCTCATGCACACGGCACAGAAGAGCTTCTTGGTGGTCAGACCTTCCATTGTTCCAGTTTGTGTCTGTTGCCTCTTGTCTTGTCCCTGGAAACCACTGAAAAGAGCCTTGTTCCATCCTCCTTACGCTTTCCCTTCAAGTATTTGTAGGTATTGATGAGATCTGTGTGAAACTCCTCCAGGTTAAACAGTTCCATCGCACTCAGCCTCTCTTCTTAAGAGAGGTATTCTAGTTCCTTGATCAGTTTAGTAGCCCCTTTGGACTCTATTCTGTATATCCAGATGTCCTCTCTAAATTGGAGAGGTGTGAATTTGAAGGATGGACTGTTCAGAGGATTGGGAATTGGTTGGCTGGTTGCAGCCAAAGGGTTGTGATCAATGGTTCTTTGTCAGGGTGGAGACCGGTCACAAGCGGTGTCCCTCAGCAGTCAGTCTTGGGACTGGTGCTCTTCAACATCTTTATCAATAACAGATGATGACATTGAGAGCCCCCACAGCAAGTTTGCAGACAACACCAAGCTGAACGGTGCAGTTGATACACTAGAGGGAAGGGAAGCCATCCAGAGGGACCTGGACAGCCTGGAGAAGTGGGCCCATAAAGACCTAAAGAGGTTCAGTAAGACCAAGTGCAGGGTGCTGCCCTTGGGATGGGGCAATCCCAGATACTTAAACAAACTGGGGGAAGATCTCCTTGGGAGCAGCCCTGCACAGAAGGACTTGGGGATCCTAGTGGATGAGAAGCTGGACATGAGCCAGCAGTGTGCACTTGCTGCCTCGAAGGCCGACTGTGTTCTGGGCTGCATTAAAAAAAGGGGTGGCCAGCAGGGAGAGGGAGGTGATTGTCCCCCTCTACTCAGCTCTTGTGAGGCCCCATCTGCAGCACTGTGTCCAGGCCTGGGGTACCCAGCACAAAAAAGATGCAGAGCTCTTGGAACAGGTCCAGAGGAGGGCCACTAAGATGAACAGAGGGCTGGAGCACATCTCTTATGAGGAAAGGTTGAGGGAACTGGGCTTGTTTAGCTTGGAAAAGAGAAGGCTCTGGGGAGACCTCATTGTGGCCTTCCAGTATTTGTAGGGAGCATAAAAGCAGGAGGGGGAATGATTGTTTACATGGGTGGACAGTGATAGGACAAGGGGGAGTGGTTTTAAACTAAGACAGAAGAGATTTAGGTTAGGTATCAGAAGGAAGTTTTACACTCAGAGGGTGGTGACGCACTGGAACAGGTTGCCCAAGGAGGTTGTGGATGCCCCATCCCTGGAGGCATTCAAGGCCAGGCTGGATGTGGCTCTGGGCAGCCTGTCCTAGTGGTTTTGTGACCCTGCCCACAGCAGGGGGATGAAACTTGATGATCTTTGAGGTCCTTTTGAACCCAGGCCATTCTATGATTGTGTATCTCATGTTTTGATGGGCCCAGAACTGGGCCTAGCACTCTAGCTGTGGTGTCT